TTTTCAAAATTACTGAGGGTCGGGGGTTCCGACTTGAGTCGGGAGTTCCGACGGTCGGAAGTCCCGGCATTCTTCGGGAGTTCCGATGCCTCACAACATCACTGTAACTTAGTTACCGTTGGCGCAGTCTGAGTCATACCGGACGTGTCCGGTATGCATACCGGACGTGTCCGGTATTGCAACGGCTATAAAACGGCTAGTTTTTCAAGGGGGCTATAAATACCCCCAAGCCTCCACCTTTGGAGGCTGCTGATTCTACTGACTTAGACACACGTTTTTGAGCCTTGCCAACCCTCTCTTAGTGAGTGATTGATCAAACTTGCAAAATCAATTTGTGGGTTGAGTGAAATTCAAAAGAGAGCCATCCAACCACTTGAGCACTTGTGCATATTGTCAATCTCGTGATTCGCATTTGTTACTCTTGGACTCTTCGGTCCTAGACGGTTAGACGTCGCCGGAGAGCACCCGGGAGATTGTGGTGTGCCTCGGAAAGTTTAGAATTGGTCGATTCCGCCGCCTCGGAATCAATTAGTGGAAGGAGGAAAAGGAGTTGAAAAAGACTCCGGCTAGAGTGACCTTCGTGGTATCCTCTAGGGCTGACCTTCGCTAGGTCGCCTGCAGCCCCTCTCGGAGAGTAGGACTCGAACGAGTCCGAACTTCGTAAAACAAATATCGTGTCTCAATTCGCATTTCATTTGATATTTGTGTTGCTCTAGCACTTGTGCAGGTTGAGTTCTGTATATCTTGATAGTTAAATTAGGTGCCTGCAGTTTGGTTTGAAGATAGAAATCAAAAGGAGCAAGTTCGGGCTGATCTGCGAGAAATCGTGTATACTGGGACACGTCCGGTATTCATACCGGACACGTCCGGTATTTTCTACCGCACTAAAAATATTTATTTCTCTGTTCTAACTTGATGTTTGCAGGTTGTAGCTTCTAGATATATTCTTTATACCTTGTTTACTCTGTGGCTAACTTGTGAGGGGTGGTAGTACTCTTAATTTGGAGTTTCCATTTTGGAAACTCCCCTTTCTAATTGTTTCCACATTTAAAGGTGTTAATTTTCAGAAACGCCTATTCACCCCCCCCTCTAGGCGACATCCTAGGTCCTTTCACCAATTCCGCCAAGCGGGTGCCGCGGATAGGAGGCCCGAAACGTTGGCGACACAGGTCCTTGAAACGGTCCCATGGAGGCATGCCCTCGTCCTGCTCGAGGGCGTAGTACCACGTCTGGGCCGCTCCGGTGAGGTGGTAGGATGCCATCCATGTGTGTTGCGACGCCGGCGTGAGTTGGCCCCGAAAGAATTGCTCACAATGCGTGAGCCAGTTCAACGGATCCACGGAGCCGTCATAAGTTGTGAACTCAAGCTTGTGGAATTTTGGGGGCATGCTGCCCTGCGCGGCCGCTGGAGCGCCACCCTCCAAGGCACTATCGTTGGAGCTCGGGGCGCTGGTGGCCGGTGGCAGCACGCTGCTGCCGAGGAAGAGGGTGCCATCCATCCCGCCGTAGAGGGTACCCGACGCCACGGGTCCCCCATGGTCCATTACGGCACCGGTGGAGGGCGTCACGGGAACGTGCGGCCGGGACGGGGCCGTGGTATAAACGGGGCTGGGTTGCCCCAGGGCCCATGCTGGTATCTGGGATGGCGATGGTGGGAATCGGATCATGTGGATCGGGACGTTCGTCGACGGCAGCGGCGTAGAGGTGGAAGACGATGGGCTGGCATCGGTGGGCATCCCGTAGGGGGACGAGATCGGCAGCATTTGCTGGGAAGGCGGCAGGGACGGCTGAGGTGGTGCTGCGTAGGTCGGCATCGGCAGGTGGAGGTACTGGAGGATGGACTGCATCATCAGCCGCATCTCCGCCATGCCATTGCTGAGATCGACAATGGCCGCCGTCGTTTGCTCGGGCGTGAAGATGACCCGCGGGGCAGCCGGCGCGCCCATCGGCAGCGACGGCGTCGGCACCATCGCCGACGTGGAGGAGGACGCAGGTGGCGGCGCGGTGGTGGACGCAGGTGGCGGCGTGGTTGCGGCCAGCGGTGGCACTGTGGTGGAGGGCAGGGGGATCGACGTCTCTGATACCAGGTTGGTATGGACCGGTGCTCTCCCTCTGATGGATCGAAGGTTGTACGAATGGGTGATGGTTGGACGTGGTTTGAAGATGGAGGATCGGTGGCGGGGCGCCGTGATCTCGCGCGCAAGGAAGAGAACAGAGGCGGCTAGGGCAAACTCCCGGCTCCCTAAGGAAGCCGAGTAATATGATTACTCTTGCTTAAAATCCAATTGTGCCTGATTACAAGTATTTATACTTCCATGAATAAAATTGAGAAATAAAACTAAATATGCTAATGGGCTCTCTTAGCCACTAATGGGCTTGCGCCTGGAATACTGCAGCCCGGTCATAACAGTTGCTATCCTGATGACCTGGACGATCTGGACAGTAAGAAACGACTACATATTCAGGAATGTTCAGCCGAACCTTCAAACAGCTAAGGAATTCTTCAGAAAGGAATTAACTCTGTTATCTTTGAGGGCAAAGACTAAAGTTTCAGTCACCTTTGATCTATGGATACAAAATCTGTTGTAATCTTTCTGATTGGCCTTATTTTCTTCCTTTCTTTCTTTGTTTCTTGATTTTACTACCTGTTCTCTGTACTCTGTACTTTGTAGTCTGTACTGTGTTTCCTCTTTTTAATAAATCTTTGTAGGGGTGCAAACCCTCCAGTTTCATCAAAAAAAAATTATTCATTTTCACGAGAGGGATTTCACTAACAATTTTGCCAATGGTACCTTGGCCTGAGTTGGATGGTAATCTTTTATTTTTTCTTGTTTAGTTTTGACTTTTGAGGGATGGAATGGGGATCCATCACAACATCAAAAGCACTTGTTTACTGTAAACATGAAAGAAAGACCTTACATGGTTCGTCTAATCTATGATGACTTCAAACCAAAAACACCAATAGCAACCAGAGTGTTTTGTCCCCACTAAAAAGTCCCTCCTTTTGCAAAAATAATCCCCAGTGTCCTTGGTAACCAAAAGCATAAAACCTTACCAGCAAATTCGATAAACCTTACAAGATTGTTGTGTGCTAGTTTCCTTTTGATGCCCAAACAATGGCATAAATGCACTGATACAACTATTTTGGTTTCGCTAGCGATTTTTTTTTTCGGTTCCATGAGAAGCTTCACCAACACCAATGGAGCTGAAGCTGTTTTCGAAAAACGTTTGATAGAACAGCTTCTCGGGAGGATAGTAGAGAGGGAGCTAGGAGAAGTATTTTTAGCTTTATCAGTGTCCCTGATAGCAGAGAGTGAGCTGGGAGAAGTATTTTTTAGCTTTACCACTTACCAGTGTTTCCTGGACATTTAAGAGCACATTTTGAGGGACTTCTAGGGAGAAGCTTTTCCAAGAAACTGAAAAATAGCTTTGTAAAACTGGACCATAATCCATACCAAACAGTTAATAAGGAAACACGGCAGGGTACAATCCACTTTAGAGTTAAGTGTCGCACAAGGAGATTGCCAGAAAAAAAAAGCTACTCATAAGTCAAAAAAGAATGGCTCTACTAGTACAGTTGTGACAGGCTTCTCTGCCCAGCATTACAATTGACATCATGAAATGGTCTGTTGTTCACTACAATGGAGTACAAGGGAAGAAATCTAACTGGCCACCCTTTCTTACAATTTATGATGTGACTTTGCCTGGTGGGACTTGATTTGGTTGAACAGAGAGGATATTTAAGGCCAGGCAGGATAGCTGAACACGCCGTCTCATTTTGAATAAATGGCTGTGGATTAATTTGCAAGGCGGCCCACTACTCAAAGTAAGGAGCATCCATATATATGGGCTTATCATTGACACCTTGAGTTCAAATGGGCAGAATATGATGGAATGGTTGAAAGACTATATGAGAAACTGTCTAATCTTTTAGGAGCACCTTATTGCTTCAGGGTTCATCTTTTCTTAATGGTCATTGCTTCGGAGTTCACACTTTCTGTATATATTAACTTTGGTCGCTTGAAGAAATTGAAACTTCTGTCATAAATCGAGATAGCTCCAAATTTTTATTTCTTTTGTAGCCCAGAATGCTCACTGGGCTTTCTTCAGTGCGGGCAGCGTAGCACTGGTTTCAACTTGCACGCCTCAGATACATATTTGTGGCCAGGAATTTGCTATTGTCTGGTGCAAGATGACTTGTTGTATTGGATTTTCAGAAAGGAGCATGTCCAAACGGGAAGTCTCGTGCAGTATTTTTTCTGCAAATTTATTTAAATATGATAAATTTATCTTAATATTTTTTAATGAAGGGCACAAATTCTGGCAAAAGCTCCTCACCTTGGTTCCCAAAACTTGACATCTTTCTTTTCTTTTATTTACTGGGACGAATATCTTTATACTAGACCTTTAAACTCAGTAATCACGCAAAAAGCTCTCTCCCTTTTATTTTTCCAAGGGGTTCATGTTGATTGAATTAAATCTAGGGTAATCCTCAGGTGAACTCACTACTCACCTAACGTGGGGTAATGCCCCATTAACCATGAGACACAACTTTCTTGTGGATTGAACAAGCATAACCAAAGTTCTCACATTGAATACTAACTAATACTATTGCATAAGCTCACACCACAAATAAATTCATGTCCTCTCCTTGCTTAATTGTACAAAAGAGTCACTTAGCTAGCCACAAGAGTTCCGTAGTCCTGGAGTTTATTGTGTTTTCCTTGATCAAACAAGTTTTGTTCGATAGGAATACAGAGATATTGTATACAACATAGAATGACATTGTTGTCACTGACAAATGGTCCTACATGTCATCTAACAATCTGTTAATGAGCAAAATCTTCTAGTGCAATCCACCAACCACATGGCGTACCACCACACCAGTTTATCACTGTTTCTGCTGTGTAGTGTAGCATTGTCCAGGGCTCGGCCTCTATAAAAGGCTCACACCGGGCACGCATTCCTTCACCACGAGCTCACACACACATCCATCAGCAATGGCGACCACCATCACCAGGCTCTTGAACCACATATTGCTCTTCCTCCTCGTTGTCCAGTTCGCCGACGCAGTTCTCGTCGAAAAGACCGAGAACCACGTTGCGCTGAAGTCTCAGTCATCGAGCACCACCTACATCGTCCATGCCAACGACCTCGCCAAGCCGCCCCACTTCGGCTCCCTGGAGGAGTGGTACCGTTCCATGGTGACCACCCACGCCTCTTCCACTCGGGCGGCGACCTCCAGCGGCATCCTGTACACCTACGACACCGTCATGCACGGCTTCGCCGTCCAGCTCACTGGCGACGAGGCCCGGCTCATGTCCAGCGCGCCCGGCGTCATCGGCGTGTACGAGGACAGGGTGCTCTACCCTCAGACCACGAGGTCGCCGGGGTTCATGGGCCTCGAACCCGGCAACGGCGCCTGGAAGCAGACCGACTTCGGCGACGGCGTCATCATCGGCATCATCGACGGCGGCATATGGCCCGAGAGCGCGAGCTTCCACGACAGCGGGCTCGTCCCCGTCCGGTCGAGCTGGAAGGGCAAGTGCGTCGACGCCCACGACTTCAACGCCAACTTGTGCAACAACAAGCTGGTTGGAGCCAAGGCCTTCATCACTGCTGCGGACGCCGTGGCGGGGAGGAAGAGCCGTGGCATCCCCTCCCCGAGGGACGAGGAGGGACACGGTACGCACGTGGCCTCGACGGCCGCTGGCGCTGAGGTCCGCAACGCCAGCCTCTACACGTTCTCCCGGGGAACCGCGTGGGGAATGGCGCCCAAGGCGAGGATCGCCATGTACAAGGCATGCACCGTGGTAGGCTGCCTGTATGCGGACATCGTAGCGGCGGTGGACGCTGCGGTGAAGGATGGCGTGGACATCATTTCCATGTCCCTCGGAGGCAACCCACCAGACCCTCCCTTCCACGATAACGTTGTCGCAATCGCCTTGTTTGGTGCGGAGCGCAAAGGCGTCTTCGTCGTCCTCGCTGGTGGCAATGATGGCCCGCAGGCATCTACGGTGATCAACTCGGCGCCGTGGATGACCACCGTAGGCGCCTCCACCGTGGACCGGCTGTTCCCGGCGAGCCTCACCCTCGGGAACGGGGTCGTGCTCGCCGGGCAGTCCCTTTATACCATGCATGCCAAGGGCACGCCCATGATCCAGTTACTGTCCGCCGACTGCCGACGCCACGATGAGTGGAAGAGCTGGACGCCCGACAAGGTCATGGGAAAAATCATGGTGTGCACGAAAGGAGCAGGCGACGGGCACGGCATCCTCTTGCAGAATGCTGGTGGCGCAGGGATAGTTGGTGTGGATCCTCATGAATTGTCTCGAGATGGTTCCGCAACCTATTCCTTCACTCTTCCGGGTCTCACGCTCAGTTACACCTAAAGATGGCAACGGGCATAGAATGCCCGCATGCCCGCGGGCATGGAACCCGATGGGCAAGGATACGGGCACCACTTCTTGCCCGCGGGCACGGGCACGGGCACCATCATGAACCCAGAGGATAGTTCTTCGCGGGCAAAGAAATTTGCTATCCTCGCCCGCTTATCCGCCAGACCCGCTCCACAGCTCTAACATGTGGGACCTACAAGCAAATATATGTATATATACACGATCCCCTCCCGAGGGACGAGGAGGGACACGGTACGCACGTGGCCTCGACGGCCGCTGTTGTGAATATGTATCTTCATATCTCTTGTAATGCACTATGGTTTATGTATATGCTCAACCTGGCGGGCACACGGGCATGCCCGTGGGCATTTCATGCCAGCGGATGGAGGATGACCACCGTAGGCGGCGTGGTTTGTTGCCCGTGGCGGGTCGGTCGCCGGGCAGCGGGGCAAGGGCACGGCGTTACTGGCAAGAGATTTAGCATGGTGGCGAAAGGAGCAGGCGCGGGCGGCATGCAGAAGAAGGTAGTATCCGTGGGCATCACGCCCGCTGCCATCTTTAGTTACACCGCTGGCGAGAAGCTCAGCGCGTACATGGCCTCGGTACCCTATCCGGTGGCGTCCTTCAGCTTCGGCTGTGAGACGATCGTCCGCAAGAACCGGGCGCCGGTGGTGGCGGGGTTCTCATCGCGGGGCCCCAACCCTGTCGTCCCCGAGCTGCTCAAGCCCGATGTCGTCGCGCCGGGAGTGAACATTCTTGCCGCCTGGTCGGGCGACGTATCTGTGTCGGGAGCTTCCGACGACGGCAGGAGAGCCGACTACAACATCATCTCCGGGACGTCCATGGCGTGCCCGCACGTCGCTGGCATCGCAGCAATGATCAAGAAGAAGCACCCAAGCTGGACGCCTGCCATGGTACGTTCGGCGCTGATGACGACCGCCGGGACGGTCGACAACAGAGGCGGAGACATCCTCGACAACGGTAAGGGGGTCATCGTGGGCCGCGCCGACAACGTCAGGGTCGCGACGCCGCTGGTGGCCGGGGCCGGGCACGTCCAGCCGGACCTCGCGCTGGACCCGGGCCTCGTCTACGACGCCGGAGAGCGCGACTACCTCGACTTCCTCTGCGCCCTGAACTACACCGTGGAACAGATGCGGCGGTTCGTTCCGGACTTCGTCAATTGCACGGGAACGCTCGCCGGCGGCCCCGCCGGCCTCAACTACCCGTCGTTCATCGTGGTCTTCGACAACCGCACCGACGTCCGCACACTGACGCGGACGCTGACCAAAGTGTCCGAAGAGGCGGAGACGTACAATGTCACTGTCGTGGCGCCGGAGCACGTGAAGGTGACCGTCACGCCGACGACCTTGGAGTTCAAGGAGCACATGGAGGCGAGGAGCTACTCGGTGGAGTTCAGGAATGAAGCCGGAGGGAACCGGGAGGCAGGCGGTTGGGACTTCGGGCAGATCAGCTGGGTGAACGGGGAGCATCAAATCAGGAGCCCGGTGGCGTTCCAGTGGAAGAACTGATGACTTCTTCTGCACAATAATAAGCTATATGTTGAGCTATCATGCTTAAACTGCCATATCCATATATCGTCATGGTGATGAGTTCGTTGGTTAGGGGGGAATCAGTAATTCCGCATTCTGAGTCGTGAGCTGTGAGACGTATGGATGTTAAAAACTGGATGGTGTCAAAAAAATAGCTGTTGATGTTTTTAAAATATCTCCAAAGCTCCCATTTTATTTTGGTATAAATCAGTATTTTGGTATTCCACTCCATTTTTCTCCTCAAGCTGAACCATTTTTCACAACACTGAGTCCACTATTTACACAATAGACCATATTGCTAGTGCTGCATCTTCCTTTTGCCTGGGTTCCTTGCTTGCCCTGAATCATTGCTTTTCACAACACTAAGTTATTGAAACCGCACCGGTTACTGAATAATGACTACTTAACTGAATTAGATGGCGTGAACCGTGTAGAGTGGTGTAGTTTAAACTGTTGCTGCAACATTCATTCAGCATTAGTACTAAGACTATATTGATAGGTCGTGACTTCACCTGCAGGCAGCTGGATTTTGTAGAATCCAAGCAAGAGACAAGAGGCCCAGCTCGAAATTTAGGATGGAAAATTAGTTGAGAATTGCCTTGGTTGCTGCAACTTATTACTGCATCTACCGCAGTCGGCAAGCTGATGTGGCTGTTGTTGTTCATCACACTATTTTCGTTGTTGTCATAGTAGTTATTTGCGTCGAGGAGGAACATCTGCGAGTTGTTTCAGTAGAGTGTCTAATTCCTCCACAGGTTGTGCTACTACGTAGTAATATAAATCTCACCCTTATGGAGGATCCTTTGCGCTTGCTGCTCTTGTCACCCTCATAGAGTGGTTGCTGATGGCTCAACCATATATGAGCACAACCATAGCTTAAACAATTTGGAGCAGTTTTTTGAGAAACAAAAGTGCAGAGCAGTCTTAATTATATGGCACTTATTTGTCAGTGCAGCTAGCTCAACTGAACATTTGTGTGGTGTCTTAGGTATAGATTTTCCTAGTTTTTTTTTTAATTCAGCTCTTGCTACTGTCCCAGGTTTAGTTGTCTAGGTCCTTCTAGTAATGACTACTTTTGTTATTTCATACGTACTTCCAGTTGAGTGATCATCCCAGCAAATTATTGGCCACACTGGTCTGCCCAGCTCTTTCCACTTTTTTTTGTTTCAGGAATTCAGGGTGTATATTAGTGTAATATAACTCTGCCCTTTCATATTACTTGTATATCTATATGACATTCTCCGTATCCACACTTACATGGTCCTAACCAAAAGAGCCATTAGGGTGTAAGTTGTACTGGTTGTAACATGACAACAACTAGAAACAGTATGAAAGCTATTTGAAATGCTATGCTCTTTTGCGATTCTCTCCAGATTCTAGACGTGTTATAGGAGTAAACCAGTAAACTGGGCTAAAAAAAGTAGTATAACTGTAGTGTAGATTAATGTTCTTCTTTCTTACAAATTGGGCATCAGGTTATCAAGCAAGTCTGTTTCTGTTTAGAACACTAGCTAGGCATGTCTGTATTTGCAAAATCCTGGTAGAGAGACTGTTATGCATCAATTATCTTCACAGCCAAAGACCTTTGCTGGATTACACATGAGGACAAACTGCTGTTTTGATGTTAATTTGTAGTAAAATGACCAATTGCATACAGGATTGAAGGGCTGAAGGTTTCTGAACTGCAGATTTCTCAATTCATGTCATCTCATCTCAGCTTTGCCTTTGGAGTTCAAGGACTGAAGGTTTCTGATGACTTGTTGTCACTAGTTGTAGTCTTTAAAGGACTATAGGTTTCTGATAATTAATATTTATTATTTAAAATTAGTCATTCTTCTCCTTTCAAGTTGAATTACAAATGGCTGTAGATACTACCATTGATGGCATTACTCATGGTTTGTCATCTAAACTGAAGAAAATGGAATCTTAGGGTCCGTTTGGTTGGGCTTTTGGCTTTGGCTTTTGGCCCCAAAAGCCAAAAGCCCAACCAAAGGGGTTGCTTTTGGAGGTTGTTTTTTCAGAAGCAGCTGCTTTTTCGTAGTACATTTTTGAAAGCTGGTTTCACCCTGCTTTTGGCTTTTGGCTTTCTGCTTTTCAAAATTGGTGGAATAAAAAGCTCTTCCATAGTTGTTTCAAGAGAGATAAAGATAGAAGGTATATTTTATACTTGTTTAACCAAACAGCTTTCAGCTTTTCTACAGCTTACAGCCCACAGCAGCTTTCCCACAGCTCACAGGCCACAACAGTTTTTTTCCACAGCCACAGCTCAACCAAACACACCCTTAGTTTGCTTGTGCCAAGTTTTGTAATAAATAAGTATATATCTATCAGTAGAAATGTCCTTGTCATGTTTTTATATTTCCACATTTTATTGTTCTGATTTTTTTGTATTTTGTTCAAGTATGTGAATGGATCGTAAATTTGTGCAATTTTAGAGATGCAAGTTGACATGAGTGAACGAGCTACTTGACGCAACTCTGTCCAACTGCGTATAGTTCAGAACTGTTCAACTACTTGATGCAAATGCAAGTTGTGGGCTTTGCGACAGTTCAAAACAGTTAAACACATACTAATTGACACGCACGGGCCGCCGCAGTAACCCGCAAAAACAAACGGCGCTGTGCGGGCCGCCGCATGTGCCCGCCAGCGCTCGCGGCTTACGCGGACACGGGACGGGCTGCCCGCCGCCGCGCCGCTTGCTACGGCTGCTCGTGGTTCCTGCGCCGAGGCCCAGGCCCGCCGTGATTCATGGTCCTTGTGTCAGATTCGACGCCGAGCTCTGAAGTTGCAAGTTTGCATTGACTAGGAAGCTTCCTCACACCCCACCATGAAGCTGCATTTGGAAGGTATCCGTAATCCCGTATCCCGCCGGATCTCATCGGCTACTCAGACTCGCCGAAATATGGAAGCCTACGAGGCCTAGGCCCTAGGCCCTAGGCCCTAGCCTTAGCCGTCGTGCAGCGTTCGATCCGTGGCACGCGCCGCCTCCCATATATTACCGCCCCCTCGCGGCCTGCCTGCCCCGCCGGAACAATAACAATTTCTTTCTACTACTATACTTCGAGGAGGAGAGCGTGCAGGGGATGACGGGAAAGCGGAGGACCGCCAGCCGCCTTGCAGCAAAGCGCGCAGAGGCGAGGCGGGCGCCGCATTGGCGCGCCCGCGCGTTGGGCCTCATCCGCGACCGCCGGGGGCGGGTCGACACGTTCGGCAAGCGGAAAGAGACGCTCAAGGTCAAGGCGTACGAGCTCTCCGTGCTCTGCGGCATAGACGTCGCGCTCGTCGTTGCCGCCGCGGACGGCGACTGCGACGGCGGCGGCGCGGCCGCCGGCGTGTGGGAGTCCACCAAGGGCGCCGTGCTGGCCCGGTACCGCGTGCTGGACCCGGAGGTGAGCTGCAAGGCGCACACGCACCGGGCGTACCTCGAGGGGCGGCTGGGCAAGGAGGAGGAGGCCAAGCTTCGCCGCGTGCACAAAGCCAGCCCACCGCCTTGATCCACGGGACAAGGCGTTGGGCCAGCGTCGCCCACGGCGGAGGAGGCGCAGAGGCTGCTCGAGGCCATCGACGCCGCGATACGGGCTACGGAGGACAGGATGAGGGCGCTGGGTCTGCCGGTCGACAGCGAGGACGGCGTCGGCGCTGGCGTCGTGCTCGAGGGGGTCGCGCCGTTCGCCTTTGCTGGCGCGGACGGTTATTTCATCGCGACGCCCGGCGGCGGCGGCGATTACAACAACCGAGCCATATGGGCCAATGATGGCGTTTCAGCGTACGGCTTCAAAGAAGTGCACCAGCGGCGGCGGCGGCATGAGCATGGAGGGTTACCACCTTCGATAACGCCGGACATGTACGCCGCCGGTGGCAAAGAAGAACAACAACAACGGCCGCCTCGCGACGGACGACCACTGTACCGCCGCCGCGATGATGCGGCACGCTGTTGACGGCTACGGCTTCCACCAATGCGCAGCACCGACTACTTTGGCATACCTGCTGGCCACCGAGATGCGGGGAGTTCTTTGGTCGGGCGCCGCCTGCACCAATCTGGCCATGTGGAGCGCCGAGGAGCCGCACCATGCCATGGTGCCTGTCCACAACCCCTCCGCCGAAACCGGCCTCAGCTACATGGACACGACGGCGGCACTCGGTGTCCAGGCGGCGGCGGCGGCTTGTCCTTTGCCATGGGCGCCAGCTGCAGCTTCGTCAACGCCCCGCCAGAACTCTCCCTCGCCTTGGGCACCGCCGGCTGCGTTGGCGGCCGCGACTTCATCAACGCGCCACCAGTAACCTTCTCCCACACCATCGGTGGCAGCAGCGACAACTTCACCAACACAACGCCAGCCCAGCCGCTCGCCATGAGCTACGGCGCCGACCTGACAATTGCCGGCAGCAGGTACGCGACGCAGTGGCAGGCAGCACAGCCGCCCCAGCGTGCCGGCAGCGGCCAGCAGTCCGGCGTCGAGCAGCCGCATTACCTCAGTGACCTGGAGGACGCGCAGTCGCAGACGGCCCAGAAGCTCCAACACGCCGACAACGGCCCGCAGTCCGGCATGGAGCTGCTGCATTACCTTAGTAAGCTGGAGGAGGACACGCAGCTGCATCTATGGGAAACTAATCGTGAAATTTTTGTATTTTGGTCTCTTTTGAAAACAATTTTTAGAAAAATACCAACGTCAAAATATTTTCTGAAAATAGACCATTTTTAGGCGTCTTAGCACATGACGCCGAGATATGAGGCTCGACGTCGTGTCACTAGACGCCGAGGTATTACCACGTCACGGACGACCGGGATCGTCGTCGACACGTTGGCGCGTGGGTCCGCGACGTCGGCGTCGTGTCAGCCGACGCCAAGTACCCAACCTCGGCGCGGTCTAACTGCGCGCCGAGATCTGGCCCCATCCGGAGCGCGGCCCAGGCGGCCCAACAAAGCATGGTGGCCCAGCAGCTCGGCGGCCCAGCAGCTCGGCGTTGGGTCACTTAACGCC